CAGGAACAGTCAATAGATCAGATGACATACAAATCAAATTTTTTTTTTATGAACAAGGTCATACAAGAGGGAGAACAATCAACCAAAATGAGAGCATGTCATTGCATGAGTCGATAATGAAAATAAAACTTTGCATGTGTACTACCAAACAAATTAACAAGTCAACATGATCAGGTATAGAATTTATAGCATTCAAATACTTCAAAAGGGAACAAATATCATGCTTAACAAAATATACAGGCCAAAGCACAAGCATCACCCCAACTATCATAAACAAAAGGTATAAAAGGTCGTGCTCCATAGTCTAGCTTGCAACTGAGCGAGGGGGCTTAATTCCCTTAGGTAAGGCCAACCTCATTTTGAACATTAGAGCTACATCAACTATCTTTTCAATTAAAGTTCCGCATTCCATCATAATATCTATCCTTTAACAAGCACGAGTCACCACATACTTAACTAGGTACTACAAAAGGTAGGCCTTCCAAATTCCAAGACATAATTGCAGTCATGTTCCCAAGGCAAGAACAAGGTATATCAACTCTAAAATATATCTAGTGGCAACGATCAAGCACTAAAGGTTATCCCAAACAAATTAATCATTTATTTCCCCATAAGTCCTTAAATCAAGAACGCCTCCTAGCAAATGCCATTATTCAAGAAATTTACTTACTATCTTTTAAATAGTGTTTAATCTCTTACAATCTTCTTCTCTCTTGCTAGTCTAGCACAATAATCCTCAATTATTGAATCTTAATAACCATCGAAACCACAATTGCTCACTACTTCACTTTTTCACTTAACATTCAAACGAACCCGAATCCCACTGTGTGGCATCCTCAACTTTTAGAACTTAGGATACACTACAGAGATCTGAAACCTAGAGCTCTGATACCAACTATGACGACCCCACCTCCCCCTAAGGCGAACCAAAGGGTTCGGCAGACCGCCTGCCCAACTCTCGCCGGGACTCACTACAATCTTCAAGTAAATTACAAATTAAACTCCAATATCACATGAAATACTCCACTAAAACATTCATGTACTCTAAAATATAAAAGAACAATTCATGCTTCTATATTACATCCAAGATTTTCAATGTACTTTTACAATACCGAAAGCCCAAAATAATCATAAGTTTTACACTATGGAGTCCCAGAATTAAAGATAACGACTAGTTCTACCCAAAGGGATTGTCACTAATTAAGCCTCAGAACTTCCACTTCCAAACCTGTTAAGGAAAACAAATTGGGGTGAGCTGACGCTCAATGAGGCCAAGGGAAAAACATGCAAGCATGCGAGCAAAGACACAATATAAAGCAATAACTTGAGTAACAAGTAACTTCGAAACATTTAGCAAGTAAGGAATTTAATCACAATTAAAAGGATACGAGAGCTCTCAGGAGCTAATCCACGCGCTATCCAAGCTCAGGTAGTTGACCCTCCGTCAACTTTTACAGTTATCCATGTAGAACTCCACTTACTACCTCCAGCCACCATGACACCCTCTTGGATCCGTAACCAAACAAGCTTGTAGGTGGTATCACTTAACAAGGATACCTAGCAAGACATCTTATTTGGATCAAGTTATAACACTGCCTAAGGTTCACCAAGTTTCTCGACCAAGCCCTTGCCGGCTCGAGTTACAAGGCTAGCCAATGGGTTGGGGCATCCCCCCCCCATTCACTTTTGGGTCGATGAGACGAATCTCCAATCGACAAGATTTGGTCATAGCATTGAGACGGGATGAGCGGTACCTCCAACCCTAAAAGGGTGTGATACATTCTGCTGCTCAATGCTCACGGAAAACACTTTCATTTACATTCACATGTAACACTTATCACTTATCAAGCAAGCAATTTCATGAAATAGAGGACAAGGGCGGTAAAGTACACTCTACCCTCATGAACTAGCAAGTACGAGAAACATTTCATTTAAACACTTAACATGCATTTGACACTCACCAAAAGTCATGAGAGAGAAAAAGTTAAGCGGCTAAACGGGTTCTTCGGAGTTCTCGTATTCACCTGAGACATGTATAATCACGATCATTCACGTGCATATTCAAGGCCAAGCAAAAATATCAAGTCGTTTTCATGTTTATTGTAAAAATCAGGAAACTGGAGGTTTATGGTAGAAATCTTTAGAAAATCGTAACTTAATATTTACGAGTCCAAAATTTGCATAGTTGATACCGTTGGAAACCTAATTGAAAGGGCTAAAACTTTGTAGAAGACACCTTGATGACATTCCATACGAATTTTGCCCAGTGTTTCCGTCAATAGACTGCTACAGTAAAATGCAGGGCAGGTAAAATTCCGTTTTTCCAACGGACTTTAAAAAAACACCAAAAATCACAGAAAATGAGTTAGCCCCTGAAATTTACATGATTTGTAACCTTATGTGTCTAGTTTCAAAAAAAAAAAACAAATGGGACTCGATTTGGAGTGGTATACATGAAAATATAACTTTTTTTTCCGAAACTGGTCTGTTGTTCCAGAAAGCAGATTTCCAGTTTTCACTTTAGCAAGTTCACTCCTTTTTTTTCCTTTGAAGAGCCAATCGGTTTAATCAACCCAAATACACTTAGAATCCATTATTTTGGCACAACTTTAACTCAAATAAAAGCTCCAAAAATCTGAAATTTTGTCCCAAAAATTTCGGCCAACATGAAAGATTCAAAACAAAAATTTTTCCTCTTGCTATACTTAAACACACACAAGTTCATCTATCCAAATAAAGGAATATCTGGCAATAATTAACAAGCCAAACATGTAATAAAGCAAGATTTATCACATATATGCATCTAAAGCTCAATATACCTCCAGACCTCTACCTATCATCAAGCCAAAAACAAGAAAGCAATTAAAATCCTCAAGCTAGTCACCCCGAACAAATGCTCAAGGGGTTCAGCCACAATAATCACAATAATCACCTCAAACCAAGCGTCCAGTAACCACATTGACCACATAAACACATTGGTAAATAGGTCACTCAAATAGTGAAAAGTCACATGTCCTTTGGCGAGTGTGATAACGTACACACTCACCTAATAAGAAAGTACAGTTCGTAAATCCATTTACCAAATCCTTTTAGGAATTTAAGCACAACTCGAGCTACACTTATCGGATTGAAACAAAAAATATACCGTTTCGAAGCTAAGACATAGATCTACCATTCTTGTGAAGACATCTCAACCCAGTTCTCACCCTAACTAGATCAAATTTACCGAAATAGCCCAAGTTTCTTGGTTCAATTCTCACTGACACAATTACTGATAGTCCTGATTCAGTTAATCTTAACTCAGCACACACAACTCCGATTCAGGTGATTCCAAAGCCATTTCAAAGCTAAGATACAAGGCTACAATTCTTAAGAAGACATTGACAACCAATTCAGTAATATTCCCGGTCAAACTAACCAATTACAGAGGCTGATTATCATTTCTGATAGAAACAGGGTAGCAGGGGCAATTTTGTCATTTCACAGGATACCCAGCTCCGATTGAGCTGAAACTTTACAGGCATAATTTAAACTCAATTCTCTACAACTTTCATGTTATGTGCTAAGGCTAATTGAGCCCCAAACATTTTCGAATAATCACAGAAATTTCGGACCGTACTCTCATTTGAAATTTCCAGGTTTGAAACCTTCTTTTGGAACCATTTTGCAACGCCATTTGAAGGGGTTTTTTTTTTTTTTTTGTAAGAGAAAATGACAGCTTAAAGCTTAAATTTTTAGCTCCCAAATCAATCTTTAAATTTGTGAAAACACAGCCAAGAAAAATAGAGAAAACAGAAACCATTTTGGTCCCCCCTCTCTCTCTCTCCCCCTCTTTCTCCCGATTTCTGTTAAGGTTCTTCCCTTCCAAAGTTCAAGCCACAACTCCAAATATTCACACATATACCAATCAAAAATCATGCTAGCAACCAAGATCATACATTTGTGGGAATCCCAAGAACCCGTACATTAACCAAATCCAACAAGAATTCAACCCAATGAAGTTTCAAGATTCACTCTTCAAGAGATAACATGAAAGCTCTAGCTTTTGGGTTAGAGAACTACCTCAGGTTCTAGCTGATTTTCCCAAGGCTAGGATGTCCAATCTTCACCACGAAGAGATCTCTTTCCTTCTCCAAGAATCTGGCCAGCCACCACAAAGAGCTCCTCTCGGTTTCTCCCTCTCATTCTCTCGGCTAGAACAACAAGAAAAAAAAATAGGAGATGGAGTGAAGCTAGAAGTTGGTTGGTCATGGAGTTTGAGTTGAGGAAGAAGAAGATAGAGCTTTGGCTAGAAAGAGGGAGAGAGTGTGTGAGGGTGGTCGGCTGATAAGGGAAGAAGAAAAGGAATGAAATGTTTGAAAAATTGGGAGCATTATATTGGGAAGAGAAGGATAGGACTTAAAGCCCTATTTTAAGGATCATGTCCCCTCTTACATATTAATGTCTTAAGAGTAAATTTAGTGGGAATGAAAGTGATTATCTTGGCTAATGAGGGAGGGGGATTCTCGACTATAATAAGGAAGAAAGGAAAAGAAATTGAAGTGAATTGGAGGAAATTAAATGGAAGAAACAATGGCAAGATTAAAACTTAGTTTTAGCGGAAATTGTCCAACTTTGACCAATGCTTATGTTCCACTTAAATTTGTCCACTACACTTTTCTTATCTATCTTAGTTCTATCTCATTTATAATTCTTTTAAAGCTACTCATAGACTAATCTTTCACCAAAGTTAAATTCCTCGACACGGCTTAAAAACTGAACTTAGCACTAGTCAGTCAAACATTGGAATTTTGTTCGAATGAAAATAATTTAATTATGAAAATGCGAACTATGCACATAAAGATCATGTAATTTTATATAAATACATAATATAATTGTATTCACATTTATTATTTAACTTTTCAAAAAATATATATATAAAATAAATAAAACAATAAAATAAATAAATGAAATAGTAATAATAATATTCTTATTAAAATAATAAATTTTGAGGCCCTCACAAGGTTCAGTGCATTCTCCTGCAATACTGCTAATTCAAAAGTCTCGGACAGAGAGGTAGGCCTCAACATTTTGATCATAGTCTTGATTTCATCTTTCAATCCACTGATAAAGCTGGATACAAAATATTCTTCACTCAGATGCGGATTCTTCATTGTCATGAGGACCTTGAGCTCCTCAAACCTTTCCTGATACTCCTCCACCTTCCCTGTCTGGTGCAATTTGTTAAATTCCTCCACAATATCCTTACCTGCCTTGTTATCGAACCTTTTGCCCAATAATTCTTCAAACATTGGCCACGTGATTTCAGGTTTCTCCGCCTTAACTCCCTGGAACCACCTGCCCGCCTTCCCTTCCAAGTACATCTCGATCACCTTTACCTTCTGTTCCTTAGGAATTTGGTAGTTTATGCAATACTTGTTGCACTTCCTGATCCATTCCCTTGGACTTTCCCCAGCGAATAGAGGCAAGTCAATTTTTGGGGGATTTGGAATCAGTGCCTTGTTTGTTTCTCTCCTCCCAATCTTGATACCTTCGAGTCCAACTTGCAGCCTCTGACTAGGCGGTGGTGTTGGCAGCAGAGGTGGTTGATCACTCAGGGTTCTTCCTGGTTCATAATTCAGTTTCTCTCTTTCCAGCATCATCTTCATGAAGGCGCTGAACTCTTGTTTCAATCTTATTACCAGACCTTCCATTTTCTGGTTGTTCTCCTCGAGTTCTGTTCGCAGCTCCTCGCGAAGCTGCTGTTGTTGGTGGTGCGAAGCCTACAGACTTTCTATTACCTCCTGGAGCTTGGAATCTTATTTCTTGATCTGTTCTTCCAGAGTCTTGAATCTGGTACTCTCCGCCATTGCTGTTCAATTCCAAGGATTCGACAAGCTCTGATATCACTTGTCAGGCTCCTACGACCATATCCCTGAATTGGAGAAAGGAGAGAAGCTCAGAAGAGCTTCGTGAGAGAGAAGATTGAAAAGAAGTTGCAGAGAGTAAGGGGAGTAGAAAGAGAAAGTAGGAAAAGAGGGAAAATGCAATTGTTATTCTCTGATGCCTCTTTAGCCAATCAAACGTGTACAAATAGGATGAATTAACTACCGCTACCCAATTTCTGTCACAACCCACGTGACTGTTCTAACTAACTCAGCCTTTCATACGACACCGTTCCACTTATCCCTTTTTATTACTAACATTTCACAAAACGTCATCGCTGCACTACAATTATTCCCCAAACGTCACCGTTACAAAGTATTCTTAAATTTAGCTTATTTCTTCTGTCCTGACAACCTGTCCGACTATGAATCGACCATCTTTCCGAGCTAGTTTGTAGTACAAAATCGCTTTGGTCAAAACCGTCAAAAATTGACTAAACCAGTGACCCGGTTCAACTGATTGACCTAATTTTCAAACTTTTCTTGCTTCTTTTTCCCAAACATAATTTGAGTCTTATTTATTAATAGGAATAAGAAAACGCCATCCACTTAGTGTAAATACAAAAATCATTCCCTTTCCTGAATGATCTCTAAATCAAAATGTTTTCATCCATATGATCTTATCATTTTAGCATCAGTGATTCCAACTTGCATTAATTTGTTTTAATTTAGTTTTTCAAGTAGTTTTGGAGAATGGACATATTTTAGCCATGAATTTACATTTTTATATATAATTATTAGGTGTATATTTGATTGCAAGTCTAATATTTTTGGAACATTTTCTATGATTGATCGAATATAACTAAGAAGTTAATTTCTATATTTCTATAATTTATAAAAAAAAATAAAATAACTATGACGACATGTTGACATGAGCGGGTTTTTAAAAGCGGTCCAACCGATCCGACTAGTTGACCCTTGATTCAATAGTTTAGCCAAGTCGCTATCCCGTTCGAGTTTAATAACGTTGCAATTAATCTCATAGGTTGATATTTATTCCCTTTTGTGCGACTTCAAGTTTTAGTTAATTGACTAGTCACTTCCTATAATCTCAAGTCAAATATTGACTCGGAAACCAAATGACCATGGGCTTTGGGCTCTAATTGTGACTTGGCCCAACAAATGGGTTGGACTCACAAACCCAACAATTCTCCCATAAATTATCTTTCTGTCCCCATTGCAGACGGGATTTCTTCTGGGAAGACGAATTAATGATTTCATGTTGTTAGCTCAAGAGCTTGTGGCTGAGATTGATAAGAAACTCCAGGAACTGAATGTGTTAAGAGAAAGCATATGATTAGGCGAATTGGTCTCTCATTATGCAAATATTGAGATTTCTGGTTTAGCGAATACAAGAATGATCTTGTGTTTCGCATTGTCTCCAACAATTGGTTTTCATTTAGTTTAAATAGTGGAGTTGTGGGATTCTTAAAGTCCTTTCGTGGTGTTCGTCGTCAAGGAGATCCATTATCACCAACTTTATTTGTGATAGCTGCTGAATATCTTGGTCATGGATTGATTGATTTATTTGAAAATGGGAGGAGGATGTTTTTTACATTATCAGGAGGTCAAGTTTTGCATCTTGCTTTTGCTAATGATACAATCATTTTTACACATTGCTTGAAGAGGTGTTTGAAGGCGATAAAGTACTTTCTTTCTCACTACTAATCTGATCAGTGGATCAAGGTTGCAAATAGCTTATTTATTTGTTCCGATAAGATCTTGACTGCTAGATGTGTATGGTATGTTCTATTTGGGATTTCAACTTCAATGTCTCCCCTTTTCCTATTTGGTAGTTTCTTTATATGAGAGTAGATCAAAGAGAGTAATGTTTGAAGCATTGTATCGAAAATCAGAGGGAGAATTCTGGTTGGCATTCTAAATTCTTATCAGCTAGTGGGAAAATAATTATACTGAAACATGTCCCTTCTTAAATTCTTATGTACTTGTTGCAAGTGCTATCTCCTCCAAAAGTGGTGGTTAGAACTATTGAATGTACGTATAATAGCTTTCTGTCAGATGTTAAAGATAATTCGAGGCATATTCACTGGTCTTCTTGGGAAAACTTACGTTTTCTAGTAGAGAAAGTCAAGGGATTAGATCCATGCTTTCAGTATTAAGCTACGATAGAATTTTAGAAAAAAAAAACAGTTTAAGCAAAGTTTACGTAGCGGAAATATCTTCATGCTCTTCATCCAACGCAAGTTCAATCTTGCGTGGGTTAAGTTGTTTGAAAACATTTGTTTTACATTAAAGGAGTTGCTGAAGTGAATATCGATTGGTGCGTAGAGTAGAGAATGATAGATTTTTGGTTTGATAGATGGGTCTTGGATGAACCCTCTGCTGTTGTTTGTGATATGGATTATCCACCATATTGTCTAGTAGCTGAGTTTTTCTTATGAATTTCGATTGGAATGTTGCTCGGCTGAATGACCGGCTTCCTCTTCGTATAGTGGCTGCAATTTTGAAGTTAAGGGTTTGATCAAATCAAGAAGATATGTTGGTGTGGCAGCTATTTACCTTTGGTTGTTTTACTCTAGCTTCGGCTTGGGAGGGGGGAGGTGAGAAAGAAGAAGAATTCTTCCATTGTTTTGAAGATCACATGGAATTCCCTCTAGCCGTTGAGATGAGGATATTCATGTCCATGGTATTATTTTGGTTTCCAAATAATGCTCTTCTTGTTCAGATAATTTGGCTAGTAGCTATTCGATTGAATCTTTTGTTGGATAAAGCGGTCCGAACAATGTCAACACGTGGATACTTGAGTCGTGCTAGAAAGCACTGTCCTAAGAAACTATTTCAGGGTATTGAAACGTTTCCCCAGGATTAAACAAGTCTTCCTCTACTTTGTGAGAGGGACGTAGAACCAGCAAAAAAAATCTTGTTTCTAACCTAGCAGAAAAGCAAGAATGTTGTGAAGGATAGACAAAGGAGGAGGTAAAGAGTGTTTTAAAGTGTAGACTTCGTTTTTGCAGTGCGAAATGAGCCTGGCAACTGGTTCTATTTATAAGCTTCACGGGACGGAAGAAGATAGAATTTTGAAAGCTAATTTTCCGTGAGAATAGGATTGTTTCGTCTAGACTTTATCTTTTGAAGTAGTCAGAGGTCTATCCTCTGTGGTGATAAGTTTGGAAAAGGTCAAGTCATTTGAAAAAAGGCCATCCGAAGCTTAACTTCCTATCTAGCACTTGAACTTGCCTTTTAGTCAAAACCTTATCTTTGAAAACTTCTCCATCAAAATAGAAACAACCATATCTGATGAAATATTATCAGATAAAGCTCTAGTCCGAAACAAACGAAAAATCTTTTGAAATATCAAGTTTTTACAACAATCTCCCACCTATTTCAAAAGATTTTGGACAAAAGAGTATAAACATCTGCTGGATTTGTCTGAGCTCAATGTAATGAGTTTGGTGTCTTTTGGACTATGAACCAAACTTAAATTGATAAAATATGTCTTACAGAATTATTGGTGAAAACATATCTTTCTATGAACCAATAATTCTTATTGTATGACAGAGATCTTATCAATCACATTATAACCCATAATTTTGCTGTTCAATGCAGTTTCGCGCATTTAGGTCGTGCGCCCGCCTGGTTGTTCATGAGAGCTCTAAAGATTCGGCCAAAAAATCTTATAGGAGCGGCCCCACTCCACTCACATATAGGTGAATTTATCAAGTGTATACTGCCCTAAATACACCTTCCTGAAGGAATATAAATTCATTAAGAGTATTAAACTCAGCCTCACAATTATTGGCAGTCAAAGCACTTAATTTTGAAGGGACTTAAATTTCAAGTGCTTTTACAGTCAATATCGACTTGTTATTACCCATATGAACCTATTTCATGGGATCACTAATCACATAGGTTGGGTTACCATCTCTATTGACAACCGTTAGCCTAAGTCCCATCTCCCTTGTAGTTTGAAGAATTAATTTTCTTCCTACAGGTTTAGTCAGAAGATCGGCCAAATTCAACTCTGACTTCACAAAATCAATGGAAATAATTCCATCTCTAAGCAGCTGCTTTACGACATCATGTCTTAATCTCATGTGTCGACTTTTACAATTATAAGATTTATTTTTGCAATAGCAATAGCCGCTTGACAGTCACAGTGTATAGACACAGGAGACAACAGATCCTTAATAGGAGGAATATTGACTAAGAAATTTCTTAACCAATCTGCCTCAGAGCCAGTTAACTCCAGAGCTATGAACTCCGATTCCCTAGTTGACCGAGCAATAATTGTCTGTCTGGCTGATTTCCATGCTACCGCACCACCACCAAGGGTGAACACATAACCACTAGTGGATTTTGTATCATTTGGATCAGAGATCCAGTTAGCATCACTGTAACCCTCTAATACAGTGGGAAATCCACTATATAGTATACCAAAATTCATGGTACCTCTCAAATATTTCATTAGTCTGACTAATGCAAACCAATGCTCACGATTGGGATTATGAGTATATCTACTCAGTCTACATACAGCATAAGCTATATCCGGTCTAGTGAAATTCATCAGATGCATCAGACTCCCAATGATCTGAGCATATTTAGACTGAGCAATTGGGTCGCCATTATTTTTCCTCAATTGAATGTTAGCGTCATAAGGAGTACTCACAGGTGTCACATCATAATTTTCAAACTTCCTAAGAAGTCTCTCTGTATAATGTTCTTGTGACAACATTATACCATCACCTCTCCTTATGATTTTAACACCCAATATCATTTTGGCTTCACCCAAGTCTTTCATATCAAAATTA